ATATATTAATATACAACCAAATTTGGTTTATGCTAGGAATTCTAGATTGTTTTTAACATTTGAAAATTAATTCACCACTTTAACACAATTAAAGAAGTCATACAATTCTATCAAAATAAAAAAAGTTGATGTATTTCACCTTGGTTTCATGATTTTAAAAAGCATTTAGACAACTAAGTAGTGAACTTCCTTAATCTCATGAAGGATATCTACCAAAGCCTCTAGCAAATAACATATTCAATGGAGAAATGTTGAAAGCTTTCTTTCTAGGATTGGGAATGAGAGGAGGATGCTGTTGTAGGCTGAATAACGTTCTGCCCCCACTGCGTCCACATCCCAATCCCCAGAATCCATGAATGTTACCTTATGTGGCAAAGAGTCTTCGATTAATTTAAGAGCCTGTGATTAATTGAAGGATCTTTACTTGGGGAGATTATCTGGCATTAGCCAAGTGGGCCTGATGTCACAATGGTCCTTATAAGAGAGACATAGGAGGAGACAGAGTCAGAGGAGAAGGTGATGTAATGATGGAAGCAGATACTAAAATGACGTACTTTGAAGGTAGAAGAAGAGGCCACAAACGAAGGAATACAGGTGACCACTAAAAGCTGGAAAAGGCAAGGAAACAGATCCTCCCCTCAGAGCCTCCAGAAAGAACCAGTCCTGCTGACATCTTGACTTTTGCCCTATAAAACTGGTTTCAGACTTCAGAAGGCGATAGTAATTGCAAGGGATCACAAGGGGCCCTTTCAGATTTTGGGAACATTCTATTTCTTGACCTTGGTGGTGATTACACAGGAGTTCTCCTTGTCATAATTCATTAAGCTCTGTATTTGTTTTGTGAACTTTTCTGTATATGTAAAACGCCAATTAAAAAAATAATAATTATATGGAAGGGTTGGGGCCACATGTGGCCTTCTGGATCCTTGACTGCAGCCTTTTGACAGAATCCAAATTTTACAGAACAAATCCTTTTATTAAAAGGGGTGCAGTAGAGAAAGATGAAGCTTTCCTTGCCTCCTTTGGTACTTAAAAAAGAACAATCTTGAAATCAGAAGGCCATAGCTTCCTCACTGCTTGATCAAAACGCTTAAAAATCTGCATACCCTTTGATCTTGCAGTTCCACTTCTAGGAATGATCCTAAGGAAATAATGGAATAGTTTCACAGCCATTAAAATGATGATGTAGACCTATGTTTATTAACATAGATGGATATCCATGATTTATTGTGAATAAAAACACAGGTTAGAGTAAATGTGTGTGTGTTTTGTCATATGTAATACATGTATATAAAACATATGCTAGAGTATAATGTATATTTGGTTTTCAGAAAGAGAAAATAGATACACATTTATGTATATACATGTTTATATACATAGGCTAGGAATAATAATTTTTTTCCGTTGATTCAAAATCATTTAAAGTGAGCATATCTTTAATCAGAAAAAATAAAGATGTCTGTATTTTGAAAAATTGCATATAATATTGGGGGAAAAAGGATATTAGCTGGGAAAATGACAGGTAAGTAATATACCAAAATATTTTTTAAAAAATAAATCTTTCATCCTTTATATTCTTTTACATTTTCAAATCTTCTGTAATAAGCATACCTTAATTTGTTAATCAGAAAAAGGAAAAAAAAAATCGAACACCCAAAGTCTGATTTCTTACAGGTGACAGTAGGGTGAGATATGTGGAACATTAAAGACTTTCTTTAGTTAGTCCTCCCTCAGGGCTAAGGGGCCTGGTTGGACAAATCACAAAGGAAAACAGCGAGTCCCCAGGCCTCGAAACCGCAGGCCGCCCGGCAGGCTCTGCCAAGGAGGTTGCGTTTCTTTCAAATCAAATTATAAATAAATTATATGGGCTCTGTTGTTATTGTTTAGGAAAACTTTCTCAGGGCCAATGGGCCTTGTGTATGGAGAGCGTTTTGGGGCTGCAGTTACCATGGAGAACTTTGAGGCCGCATTTGGTGAACACAGACAACGACGGCAACGTTGACTATCTATCCAGTTTCCAGGATGTCCACATCAAGAAACCTGTACAAGAGGCAAGTGAAACATAGCCCCAGCTAAAACCTGGCTGGGCCAAAATACCCTCTGGACAACCTGTAAGATAAGTTAGTCTTTTGAAAAGTTGGGAGAGGAATCATCTAAATCATCTAATGGATGAGAGCGACAGTCTTAGGAAAGGCAGGAGGGGAATCTCCAAGGTACATTGTGATCTGTTCCAGAAATTTGCATGTTCTCAGGAGAGGCAAAAAGAAAAAAAGAAAAAGCTTCAGCAAGGGAATGCACATCAAATACGGCATTTTTTTTAAGTGCTGTCCAGCAGAAAAGCAGACGTGCCATGCATTCTTTCGTACAACATGGCATTTAGAATACTTAATGTAGTCCTTGTTAAACTGCGAGCATACAGACTTGCTGACGTGACCCAAAATATGCCTTGAAGATTTTTAAAATGTAGAATCCCTTATTAATTAAATGTAAATACCCTGGGGAGAGTTATCAGATCCCGGTACTTATTAGTTTACAACTCATTAGCAATTAGTTACCACACTGAGCTGAAAGCGAGCTAACTGGAGCTAGGACTTGGCAGATCCTTTGCAGGGAAAATGAGAAGTTAAGAGCAGCAATAAGGGAAGTAAAGTGCAGGTTGGAGACTAAAATATCCCCAGGAAGGAGGCTTTTGACTTCACTTCAGTGGCAGTTTACTGTGGTAACTAAGATCAGAGGCTTTGGCATCAGACAGCTGAGATTTAAATCCCACCTTACCGGCCATGTGACCCTTGGGGAAGTTCTTTTATCTCTGTTTTCTAATCTGTAAAATGGACACAACAATAGTTCCGTTTCTATTCCTTAGAGTAGCTGTAGAGGACTGAATGAAATAATCCACATAAAGCTCTCTGTAAATGGTGGCTGTCGTTACTTACTGCTGCCTTGCTCGCTTTGGCCCTGTCCTCCGTGAACACAGACTGCAGAAGCCTTAGAACACAAGAGCAATGTCTTTTCTCTGATTGAAGAGGGTTGGGCTGTGAAGGGAAGGATTGCCTTCTCATATTTGTATCTAAATAACATAATTTGAATTGGTGATGATGTTTTAGTTGCTAAAAATGATCTGTGTCTTTAATTCTATATGTTTTAACATTTAGAAAATCTTTATTTTAGGTTCAATCTACTGTAATTGAAACTCTATACAAATACCGATCTAACCTGGAATTTCTGTTTAATATCATCGACTCTGATCAGTCAGGTAAATGAATTTTGATTAGTTCAGTAGTCGTAGAAAGCAACAACTAGTCTGTTTCTCTGAAATCAGAACTCTATTTTATCAAAACTTGGTGAAACTTGAGGGGAAAAAATAAACTCATGTTTAATATTATTATTTTAGTTTGGCCACAGATTCTGTGTTTAAGAACATAGGGTCCTACAGAAGCTGATGTAGTCATTGGCCAAACTAGACTGGCTCCTTTTATAAATCACCAGCACAGATGAAAAGATAATTCACTGTCCTTTTTAATATCTTAGTTACTCTTGGCAATAAAAATTATTCCTAGAGTTCTTATTCTGTTTTTGGGACTGAGGGTTATGAAAACTTATTGTCTACTTAACTTTGATGAACAATTACTTATTTTCAAACTTAAAATCATCAAATAATCCCCTACTACAGAGATCTTTAAACACCAAAAAATCAATAGTCAACACATGAAAGTAAATTGTTGCCTATAAAAAAAGGCAGTGCCATTGTTTGCCGTCCTCTTATTGATTCCTAGGGTGTCTTCTCCTTCTGCTTTGCTATTGCTGTCCTCTCTGCCCTCCCTCCATGTCCCTCACCCTCCGATTTTAGATCTTGTAATTTTTATACCACATTTAGTTCCACAGTCCTCAGTTTTCTCCCCATTTCTTCACTGTTTACTCATTCTGGCTTTAGAATAATCTCAGCATTACCTGGTAGTTGAAAGTGATGTATTGTTTCTTACATTTATGACCTTACTCTTCCATTTCCTTCAGTATCTTGATCATCAGGCATGTTAGCGAGCTTCTAATTGGGACTATTCCATCAGTATGACTTCACCACCCCTGGCTTAGGTGGGTCTTAAAATGAATGCTCACAAGCTTCTCCTATATTCTTTTAGGACTGATCTCCATAGAAGAGTTTTGTGAGACGTGGAAAATTTTTAGTTCTCACTACGGTGTTCCTAGTGATGATGCCCAAATTGAAGAGCTCGTCAAGAAAATGGACTTCAACAAAGATGGAAGCATTGACTTTAATGAGTTTTTAAAGGCTTTCTATGTAGTGCATAAACATGATACATTGAAACCAGACGAGGACCTTGCTGAAGACAAAGGAGAGCTTCCCTCAGGTTCCTCGTAAACAGCTAGGCCCAAATCAGACAGAATCCTTTTCAATACTCTTGCAATTCACTGTCAGTTAGTAGAGAAAAGTAGACTGTAGTTCACACCACAAGCAAATGCATAGTATGGGTTTTGGAAGTTCCTAGGAAGCTGTTATTGATAAGATCAGGTTAAATATCAGCCTATAGGATTTGCCTCCAGAATTAGGACCCACACCTTATATACCTTGCCGTTGAGAACGTGGACTCAAGGAGAGTGTTGGTCTCTAGGATGTCACCTAACAAGGAGACGAAAGCAGTTGAAAACACTCTGAAAGGAACACAGAGAGCATCAAAGGAAACTATTAAGTGCAACATCTGTGAGTAACTGAGGGATGGATGGAGGAATACCAAATTATTAATGGAATAAAACATTTCAATCTTTAAACTGTAATCTTCTTTGCAGATTTTATAAACCAGTGATCCTCAGTTGGAGAAACCACCCTTCAGGGATGAGGGCCACATTAGATTCTTGGGGGAAGCTATGGGAATGTAT